ATGTTTCCCTGCTTTCACTCGAATCAATAGCTGACGAGGAAAAGCCCCTTCTTTCTTCATGCGTCTTGGGGAATCAATCCTCTGGATCAAACGAGGCAGAATCGGTTGCAGCTAAATGGACTCAAAGTCGACCCCTTTTTTCCCATTGAGGCCGGGAGAGGTTCCCTTTATCTCACGTGAGTGGCGTTTCTTGATAAAGTTAGCCTCTAAATAAGATTTCGCACTTATAAGAAAGCAATGAGTTAAAAATCTGGGAGTTCGTGAGCCACAGACATTCCACCGACACCTTGCTAAATTTCACCTTCCTTCCAAAACAAGAAAAACCATTTTCGAAAATTATCACTGGGAACAAAGGGAAAGACTCCAGTTACTCTTTCCGGAAGAAGACAAGAGCGGAGTTTCGCCTCTTGGATTGAAAAGGCTAGTTACCCATCGGTTTCATCTATGTTTCTCCTAGATTACCAATCTTTGTCGAAGCAGCCAGTAGATGTCGCCCAATTCCAGGGCCTTCACTCTCTTTCGCTGCAGGACACAATGCCAGGTTGTTCTCATGCTACTTGAGACTCTTCATAAGGTTACAGTTGATGGCTTTTCAGTGTTTCTGTTCATGAAACACCTGACGAAGTCACATTCAATATCAGGCAATTTTATTTCCTCTGCGATGCAATCATCTGAGATTTGCAGGGGGACTTTCCGCAGAATGGCAGGGATCCTCTGAGCTTCGGGCACTGACGGGACTTGAACTTCTACTTTTTTTGCATAAGGAGAATTTTTGAAAATTGAATTTCTGAATGAGTTGCATGGAGCTCTCATTTTCTGCTTTTATTAGAAGACTGCCGCTGGAAGTGAGACGCATCTCGTAGATGGACGCATCTGGATTTCTTTTCCTGAATGCAAAGGTCTGGATGATGTGCTGATTCTTCGGTATATTATGCACTAGTAGGATGGAGTTGAAAGGCTGTATCGATGGATTCCTTGACTCGGGGGTAATCTCTGAGCGCAAGTTGCCATGCTTCATTTGGAAGTTTGCAGGGTGAAACCCCTTGGGGTTTCTCCCAAAAAAGGAGAGGCAAGCTCTCCACGATCGGCCCTAAACGGTGTAGCTAACGTGTGCCTAAAACGCGCAGGTAGTCGACCTATTAGAGGCCAGTGTTCCTAAATAGGAAAAAGCTGTTTCTTTCACCGAATCAGGGATATAACCTGGGGAGCTACTGACGTCTCCAACGAAAGGCAGACGAGACGAAGAATGGCTAACACCACCTGTGTAAGCCACCGAGACTTGGTTCCTTCCCAAATTAATAGGTAGCATGGAGCAATTAAATCCGGATCGCAGGTACATTTCCTCACTTTCTTTAAATTTAAAGATTAAAATTTCGGAATGAACTCGAAATGTCTTTACAAGCACGTGTGCCCAACTGAATGGAATCATTGAATCAAATATGTTCCAATAAAAAAATTACCTGCCCTTTTCCGGATCGAGAATGTGATATAGGAAGAGCGGAAAACGGGTAAATTTTCTAAATTATTTCATTTAAACGTTGAAATCGCTGAATAAACGTTGAAACGACTAATCCAGCATGTATGCCCGATCGATTGACATTGATTGCAGGTAAGAAGTTAAAAAAAAAGTCACGGATCCGAACCCAGGACTTGCTTTGTTATTCAAAAGTTAGTCTTCATTAGTTTTCCTCTCTGTACGTGTTCTGTGCTCAATTCTTTATTCTTTTTTAAATCAGGTGCGCTCTTGCCTACCTGGGTGACGTTGAGTGTATCCCTACCTCTGTGGTTTTCTTCCCTGGGGAAAGAATTATTATTTTCCTATATCTCCCTATCCCTCCCCCCCCCCCCTCGGAAACACTGCTGATGCCACACAAGTGATGCTTTAAAAAAAAAAAACGCTAATCTTCTAAAATCCCCTTTTACCCTGCTAAGTTTCGAAATCGTAGTCTTGCTTCAGAAGGATGGTATTCTTAGGAAATCGTCCGACCCCATCTGATACTTGCATCATGAGTAATACCATTTCGAAAAAACGCTCCATATTCTCAATTCCGTGATGATATTTCCATGAATCATTCTCTGCGGAAAATGCACGTGGTTTCTTTGGTATGGCACGAATAAAAAGTCAAAGAAACCGTGGTGATATTTGCCTCACGAATGATGCATATTCGAACAGCTGTCAGAATTTCTCAATTCCGTGTTCTTCCTCCTACGATTCCACATTAGAGGCAGATGTCTTTAATTTATTTAAGATGACACTCTTACACGTCGATTTAATTATTCGGCTTCGGAGGCAGATGCATCTGGTTTGAAATAGATGGCGTAGTCGAAAAGCCGTCTTATCAAGGTCTGATTCCTGATTCCTGACTATCCCTTCTGAAAATGTTTCTAATTTTCTGATTTCAGGGATGACGCCCTGAAAAAGTGGATTTACCAGTGCTGATTCCTGCCTCGCAATCGATCCCTTCTCGAGGGTCGGACAATGTATGAGTGCCATTCTCGTTAAACCAAATGCATCTACCTCCGATGTCGTATCGTAGGACGAAGCAAACGGAATGGGATGTGCCTCCATTCTAAAGGCACAACTCCCTTGGCAACGCGGCTTCTCTAGGGGGTTTTCCTCTTGGGGCACTTCACACTCGTTTTTAGGAGGATGGCACTTTTATAAAATCGTTTCACCCGGGCCAATACTTGTTCACAATTGTGTCCTTTTCATGGGTTGGCGGATCTTCTAAAATCTGTGTTCGTAATGTTAGGATTCCACATCGGAGGCCAATGCAGTCGGGTCAACAGTATAGCAGTCTTCGAAAGTCGTGAAATCCAGCTGATACCTGCCTCATATGTGATGCCCTCTGGAGAAACCGCGTTTCATTTGAAGTTTTGCTTCGAGAATGGAGACACATCGTAATTCCCCGTTCATGCAGCTACGATTCGACACCCGATACAGATGTACTTGGTTTCGGGAGGATGCCACTTTTATACTTCGTCCGACCGAATATGATGTCCGCCTCACAAGAGATGCCTCGTAAAAAGGCGGTTGATATACGCATTTCCGTTTTCATACAGCTACGGTTCGTCATCGGAGTGAAATGCACTTTTGAAAGGCAGTGACGAAAGATGCCTCTCGGGAATACTGGAGATCGTCGCAATTCCCTTTTCATCCGACTTCGATTCGACATCGGAGGCAGATGCACCGTGTTTCAGTCGGATGGGAATCCCATCAAGTCGCCTCATCCCAGCTCATACCAGTCTCACGTCTCTAACCTTATCCAAAGACGTCCGATCGTCTCGATGCCTCGTTCATCCCTGACATTTTCCAAGAGATCGATCCTTTTTTAGTTTTGGTCGATCTTCGCAATTCCGTAGGATTCCTTTTAGGTTTCCATATAGCTGACATTTGCATCGAATGTCACGAGAGTGGCGTGTTTAGAAAGTGGATGGGCTGAGGTTGACACGTGATCCGAAAACGGTGCCTTCCGTATAGCGACGCATCTTCGCATTTCCGTTCTCACGATGCTACGATTCGACATCGCAGGAACATGCCTTTGTTTTAAAGAGAATTGCATTCTTAGAAAGTATTCTGGCCCAAGCTGATTCCTTTTTTCGGAGTGATACCTTTTGTATCGGGAGTGTCAAAAGTAACTCAGTAGAGGCATGACCAATCTCATGCAGAAAGTCTTGGTCTTTCAGAAAAACGTTTTTATTGTTATTGATAACATGCAACAAATACGCCATAAAACGCATGAGGGGCAACGGAAGACTTCATTTTGAAGTGAAATCATGAACGGTCCAGCAGCTAATTCATAGCGATTGCTGAAAATGTGAATGGCTATTTCGTTTCAATGCACATTTACCTTTGAAACACCCTGGGAAATTGGTGGATATTCGTTTTTCCGTGCTGATGGTGCTGCGATTCGACATCGCGGGCATACACACATGATTTCAGTAAAATGACACGCTTAGGAAGTTCTTCGGCTTCAGCTGATCTGCTTAGAACCTGACATGCTTAGAAAGTGATGCCTCCGAAAGTGACGCTCGGCATCGAAAGTCTCGAAAACCCTCAGTCAAATCCACCATAGGCCTAACTGGTCCATGAGTCGAGTGCTGAAGTTCTTTTGAGGGGAGAAAGGTAGCCGTGGACCTGACCTTAGGACGGTACGTCGATCAGGCCGCAAGAAAGGAGTTTCTCGTGTCTCTTCTGCTAAATCGTAATTAATCATTACCGTATCGACTTCGGCTGATGCATCGAGGATCGAAAAATTGCCACAATGGTCGTAGATGGGTAGGTATCAATGAAGGTAGATTTTCTTTCGAAAAATGCAATTCACGCTCCAAAATGTAAGCCACGCTGGTAACTCTTGCGGATGTTAGGAAACGGGCTAACGACCGAATAATTCTCCGTCTACTTTTTCTTCCTCTTGGACACTTCCCGATTGAAGGTAACGTCGAAGGATGAGCTATGATCAGGGACATAGCCAAGGGGGGGGAGGGGGGGGTGTCCTGGCTGTTTGGACACCCCCCGAAATGAATCAAGATATCATGAAACTAGGAGGATGGGAGTGGGGGGAGGGGAGGTGTGAGAAGTTTTACATATACAAATGGAGTTTCGACTTGTATCACCTTCCACCTTCTATAATACATTCCACCTTCTGAATGCAATCACTCTTAACCAATACAGTGCCGCCCCCTAGCCCCCCATTTTGCTTCTATTTCTCTACCAGTTTTTTGAGTACCAGTGGCAAACCATGATTCAAATGACTAATGACTTCAAATAAATTGACTAATTCAAGGTCAGTCCTTGACCCATATCTCTTTTTATGCAAAAAAATGTTCTTTAATTTTGGGAAGAGAAGGGGCTATTTTGAACTGCGGGGTGGGTGAGGGATGGGTTCGGGTTTCCCGAACGTAAATTCTACGTGCAAATTTCTCGGAAACTTGACATTCACGCCTCATCGACTAGGGAATGAAACGGCGGTTCGCAAGAAAGATTTTTATTATTTAGACACCCCACAATTACAAGATGCACTCCTGCCCGACGTCATTCACACCACCCGATTTCCGGGAGATCCGGTGATTCGAAAAAAGGACCGTCGACTTCTCTCTTCCCTGCGTTCAACGGAAACGAAAGACGTCTCCATCGGTTTCATCTATTATGTACAAGTTGGCCCCAAAACGGAAGCGAGCCGTCCCTACTGGGGTAGAAGTAATCAGTACGTCGTGTTACTGGTTGCCCTTATGGGGGTCTTCGTGGCCGGAAAGGTATTCCCCGACGTAGCAGGAACAGCTTCCAGGAAGTTGGAAGATGTCCAAGGCAAAGGGGAAGTATTCGTCGTAGGGATCGTAGGTGAGGAATCGATGATAGATGCTCTTTTGGATGCACTTGGATTCGTAGCACTCTGGAACCAGAGGACAGTACTTTCCTCTCACGGTTTCCCTTCGAGGGGGGAAAAAAATTGCCATTAATGGAAGCCAATTTTACACGAAGCAAGAAAAAAAAAGTCGGTTTAATTATAGCGATGAGAGAGTGTCCTTGATGAAGGGATTGCATAATCGTAATCGCGAAGGTTTTGGGGCGTGAATATGCGGAAACTCCTCGGTCACGCGTCCGTGCACGTCGTGATACGCTAGAGATATGACACATCGTTCTTGGTATCCTATTGCGACCGAGGCATGACGTCGATGGTACTCCGGCTTTTCGACCGAGTGGGCAACACGAGAACCTCGATCGGACGAGTAGGCAATAGGTTTAGTAGCAGAAGAAGCGAAGGCAATGGGGCTAGGGGAATTTTAGGAGTTGGGGTCTCAGTGAGAGTGGTATAGCCACTCGACTCGATGACATCATGCACGACGTGCACGAACGCCTCGCCGGATCGGTCGAGTGTGCATGTTAATGCGATCGACAGGAGCAGTCGGGTCGAGTAACGGGACCGTTCGATTCTCGCACCCGGGTCGATGTTACTTTCGTTATTTTTCTCACCTCGTACGAGGCACCGCGACCAAAACTTTGGTTGCGAACAAAAGAACGAGTACAACCGTATCACGCGATCGGTCGGCCTCCAAATTCTCCTTTTGATCTGTCTCCCCGCAGCATCACGGTGCCGTGAAGTCCATGTTTTCTGGATACGAATTTCTAGAAATACCTAGGCACTACACTCAGGTTATGCTAACAATAATTTTTGTTATTTTTTGCTAAGTACTTTTTCTTAGACGAAACCATTGCAACTAGTAGCAGTGAGGGGATGGTTTCGACGCGTGAGGTTGTTGAGGCCACGTTGAGGCCACTCGTGAGGCCACGAGTGTCCGGGACGTCGGTCTGGACGAAAAGCAACTCGTATCACCTCGAGGCGCATTTTCAAAATCGTTTTTGCACGCGTCTACCATAAAAAATTGGAGAAAATGGACAGGTGATCATGGATGGGATCATTTGGGTACCTAACCGGAGGAAAACATCCAGCACGACTCAGAGCATCGATGTCTCGGGTGAAAGGGGTAAAGCAAGCGACCGAGGCGGAGAGACGACGATTTCTTCGCCGGGGTCTCATCACGGTGGAACGGGTGTAAACGTCTACTCGTGATGGCAAGCTCGTCGATTCGAAATGAAAGAAACTGGACGAAGCGCAGTTCGGTAACGAGCCTCTCTGTGTGCATCGAGATAGATGGCGTGTGGGATGATACCCCTCATCTACTTCATGGAGGATATCATCCCATTCAGAGAGATGATATTCCCCATCTAGTACATACAGCGAAATAGGGGGGGAGGAAGAGATTAGAGGAGGATGTTACGAGATGGATGGCTTGTACCGACGAGGGCGATCGTCTACTTATTCTACGTCATCGGAACTTCTCAATTACGAATTTGATTTATTGCCGAAGAAAAATGTTTGGAGCCAAAAATAGACAAGAAAGCCAGATTTGAGAGCTGTGGTAAAAACTTTGTGAAGTTCGAAGCATTGAAATCCCCTTCGGCTCGGACGAAAGCTTTAGGCTGACAAACGCACGGAGCCATGCGGAATCCCGTCTTTTCGACGAACGGAGAGGCTCGCGATCTGATTACATCTCGAGATCCTGTCGCATCTCCCCCTCTATCTCAAGTATTTTCTTCACTTCCGACCTTTCCTTATTTTAGCCGCCGTGAACTACGATATGCGCGGTTTTCTGTCAACGATGAAGACGTCACCGCGATTCCGAACGCCGAAATACGAGGTAATTTCAGGAGGAAATATGGGAATTTGATGAAATTTTGGGGAAACGGCCCAAAACTCCTATCCATGAACCCGAATATTTTACAAATTTTTGTGAGGTGGAGGGAGGTGAGAAGGCCTGCTTTCCCACCTTAGCCTTTCGACCCGCTCCCATCATATTCCTGATGGACTTTTTTTTTGTGGGGGGAGGATCTTTCCCCCGGTAGTTGGGCCGCCCCGCCAAAATCACGAGGTGACACGGCAATATTTTTGCTTTTCTAACCCAGCAGCTGAGGGCTGGAAATGTCCCCTTCGAGAGCAGAACTCACAGGCATTTCTCGGTGCGAACGGTCTGCGTGAACGAATGATATCCCTCCTCCAAGTTCACGACGATCTTCCATTTTCCCTCCACGTTTCTGGCTCGCTTCGGCCGAACGAAGAGCACGTCCGACGGACACAAGTAAGTTTCGTCCTGCAAGTAATCGTCGTTTCACCGCGCCCGTACCCATCCGAGTCCATCCGAGAGAAAGAAAAAGGCGACTCACATCGATGTAAGTGATGGTTTCCACCGTGTCTTTGGTGTGCTGATCGGCCACGTCGGCGTAGATTTCGTTGAATTTCTCGGCGTGGTTCTCGATCGCCCCTTTCATCTCGTATCTGCGAGAAGGATTTCCATCTCAGAGTTCTTCCCCTTTAAGGCAGAAGGAACCCGGGAACGTGTAGGGCCTCACGTGGGATATTCGTAATCGTCGAGGCAGAAGCTGTAGGTGAGGTTGCGGGCACAATGAGGCACCTCGTGAGGGCCTTTACCCTGGTAACTTCCTCCTCCTCCTCCTCCGAGATGAGGATGGGGATGGGATGGAGGTGGAGGTGGAGGAGGAGGACGCTGGGGATGAGGTCTGTTCCCGAGACCCAATTTCACTTTCGCCTGATGACCTCGACCTCGATGACCCGGGATGTGGTTCGTCGACGGTCCTCCTCCGTCGTACAGCGGTCCCAGCGTCGATCTGCAGGAAAACATCCCTCGTCAGCGTCGTCTCCCCGCGAAGAAGGCGACGAAGGCGAATGCGCTTGCGTGTAAGGGGGTCGAAGAGAAGGACGAGGGACGTCGCGGGTCTCGTATTCCGGGGAAGGGACGGACACGCCGACGCCGGGCGGAACGGGGTGTCGCTGGTGGAAATCTCGAAGGGCTCCCTTCTGCGAGATCGGCGTCAGCAGGGGATTCAACGATTTTCCTTCGTCCGGTCGATGTCTCCTCCGTTGTCCTCTGGCTTCGCTCGCCAAAACGGCAGCCAACATCTTAAAGGAAAACCACAACGGATCGCATCGAATCTTCGTCTGTCTGGTGTATGAAAATTCCCGGCAGATGCAAGATGGAAGAAAATTCGTGCCGACATTTTTCAAGCGTACTGCGAACGCGTCGCGATCTGCAGGGCAAGAAAACTTCATCATCCTCGAGGGTGAGATGTTTTGTCGCGCGTGCGCAAGGAAACGACGATCTCGCGTGTGCTTCCACGGGTCTTNACCGCATCTGAGGGCTTCCGAAAATTTTTTCACGATTACGTAAATCTGCGAAACGAAATAAAAGGGGGGGGGGGGAGGGAAGACGGAGACGGAAAGAAAGAGCGATAATGAGAAGAGATTAAGAGGAAAGAGAAGAAATGATGGAGGAAATGCTCGGACGGATGGAAGTATCGTCTGAATGTGGAAATGTCCGTCTGAGAGATGAATGGATTCCTACTCGTTATCCCTTATATCCTGGTCCCAAAATGCATTTAAATGCATTCGCACCGAACCGAAGCATGGCATCCGTATCTTTCCGGTCGGTTTCCGTCCCGATCCCCCCTTTAATTTCGTTTCGCAGATTTACGTAATCGTGAAAAAATTTTCGGAAGCCCTCAGATGCGGTAAATGGGGATTAGATCCGCCAGGCTCCCAATTTCCACCCAAGGCCGACGAGACGTGAGGTCGTCCTTTCTTACCCTAATTTCCACGGTCTCGATTAATGAGCGAATCCATTACTTCATACCGTAGAATTTGAGATTCGAGATGGCCCTAACCGTGCGACGGAAGGCCGAACGGGCGGTTGCGTCATCCCGGTGTCGCGAAAAAAACCACCGGGGTTGAGATGGAACTGCACGCTCGGTCGAGTATCTTAATGAATTGCGGTGAAGAAGCTGGATCGACCTCGAGGAGTGTCTCTCCGAAGAGGCTGGATCGACCTCGAGGAGTGCCTCTTCGTCTCGGTCTCTCGTCGGTTACGAGGAGCGATGGGAAACCGCAACCGCCGTTCCTTTCGTCATCCCAGGCAGGATCGCCAAGGTTGAACTTTCCTCGTGCACGTCGATGCACCGATTCGTAGGGCTCGTATCGCGATCGAGTGGAGAAAAAATCGAATCCAAAAGAAAATTTTTTTTCGAAAGAGGTTCTTCCGGAACGGAACCCTTCCCTCGTCGGCAGGTCTTGGTCCTGTTGTGCGCGGCCGTGGCTGCCGCTGCGGCCGACGAAGGGAAGAAAAACGAAACGGAAGCCTCCGCGAACGGAGAAGGAATTCCGGGGACCAGAAGCGAAAGGCAGATCCGACAGCATCACTACGGGACGCCTTCGTACCCGAGCGGAGAAGCCGACGGGGAACGATACGAAGAGGAAGGAGAGGGCATCTCCCCCGATTACCAGGATCGTCCGATCTATTCCTCCACTCCTTCCTACGATTCGGGGCCGGGGTATTCTTCGACGCCGGAGTATTCTTCGGGGCCGGGGTATTCTTCGACGCCGGGGTATCCTTCGGGGCCGGCGCCCGACTACGGGGGTTGCGACCCTCGACGGCCTCCCCGGTGCGCCCATCGCAACGACACCCGCTTCTGTTTCGAAGATCCCGAATACCCCGAGTGAGTGGAAGAGTCGTTCCGAAATTTCATCCCGTTTCTAGCGACCGGCGGAACGGATCGAGACGTGACGACGGCACGCTTTCGTAACCGGTCGTCGGGCTTTCTCCGCAGTCGATCGTGGCTCGTTTCATTCCGTATCGCGGTTCGTGCGCGAGGGAGAAGGGGTACGTATTCTCGTTCGTCCGGAAACGCGATCCTAAACGACGGCGGAAAAAGCCACCTGCGATCCGGTTCGCGGTCGAACGTGACTCAAGTGCAGCTTCTCGTTACGGGTGTGAGAATACGAAGTGGATCGGCAGGTACGAGATCAAGGAGAAGCTGGGGCACGACACGCAGGCGAACAAGAAGCTGGCAGACGTGGCGGCCCAATCGGCCGACGACCTCGTGGAATACATCGGCAAGTACCAAGAGGAGAGTTTCCACCGTTCGTCCTTCGATCCCGGATACCACGAGAAGAGTCATTGGTTCGGACCCGAAGGTGAGCGCTGGAACTCGCGGACTTTCTCCGCCTTTTTCGGTCGAGCGCGGCGGACCGTCCCGTCGTCACGCGGTCGAGTTCCGGCTTTCATCCTCCGTTTATTCCCCTCAGGTTACATCTGCCCGTCCCTGGTGGATTATGCAAGACCGCTCAGAGGGAAGAACGTGCTCGGAGAATGGAGAGTGATCGTGAACACCCGTTACTACACGCAGACCGCCCGATTCGAGACGTGCCCGTCGGTATCCGCTCTCTCCCGTTCCTCTCGTTCTTCTCGTTCCTCTCGTTCATCGCGGTCGTTTTCGCCCTCTCAGGTACTCGGGGTCGCCGTGTCGCCTGCTGGCGCCTTGCTACGAGAGCACCTGCGTGCAGAAACACGCGTACGAGAGGTTCCTGAGCTACGACCCGTGCGATCCCTACAAGGGACTGTTCGTGGACATGTATCAGATCCCGACCGCTTGTTCCTGCCACGTTCCCCACGTCAAAAGCTACCGCAGCGTCGTCAGCAAGTATCGCTGAGGAACTTCCGGGTCCTCCCGTCCCGAGAGAGATGTCACCCCTGTCCCGTGAGAGATGTCACCCCCGTCCCGAGAGAGATGTCACCCCCGTCCCGTGTCCTTCCCTGCTCCTGCCCGATCGCGAACGAATGCGCTTTTCAATAAAGTATATGGTATCGTCACGAACGACGGTCGTGTGGTCCTCGCAAACGATTCCGAGAGCGATCTCGCGGCACCGAAACCGAAGGCGACGATCGCAACTTCCCGTCGTCCTGCGGTCACGATGGGGGGACGACCGAGACGACGACCGAGACGACGAGACTCTGCAGCGACTCGCACGTCTTCGTGACGACTCTCACCCGACTTCTAAATTCATGCATTCGGCATTCCACGGTCCCACACCGGTTCACGATCGCTAGGATGATTCCAATCGACAAGAAAGGCAGCGTGCAAAATCTCTCCAAGGACAGACCCATCTCGACGTTTGCAGTCTTTTCTATGATACTTTGGCGTCGCGTTGCCGGCTGCACCTATTCCTCCCTCTCTGACTAGAGGGGAGGAGGGGAGAAGAGGAGAAGAGGAAGGGAGAAGAGGAGAAGAGGAAGGGACAAGAGGAGAAGAGGAAGGGACAAGAGGAGAGGACAAGATAAGAGGAAGGGAGAAGAGGAGAAGAGGAAGGGAGACGAAGCGATCCGACATCCGTGAGACCGGCGAGGATTCGAAACCCGACTCTTTTCGATCTCGCGAAACGAAGGTCCAGCGGATGCATCCTTGCGTACGTCTCGTTCACCCGCGGGGAACGAACGATACCGGCAAGAAAGGAGTCTCCGTCGGTTCGGGCCGAGTCTCGATCCGTACCGCACCGACTCCTCCGAGGAACGACGCGACGAACGCGAGACGTCCGTTTCGCCCTTTTGGGTGGCTGAAAGGGGAGAGCCGAGAAGCCACCCCGACCGAAAGGGGGAGACAAGAGTGGGAAATGGAGAGCCAAGGGGGCGAAGCAAGTGAAACATCTTTAATTCCCTTACTATTAGTAGGAGGGGAGGCGAGGGGGGGGGGAAGAGTGAAAATGTATTTGGTTCACATGCAAGTTGCTGTACAGAGTACAGGCATACTCGATCTCGGCCACGGGGTTTGAACGACATCGTATTGCCTCTTTGGCATGTGGACGTTCTCGAAAAACACGTCAACTTTGGGGTCGTGGTCGTCGCAGCGCATCGTCGACGTTCGTCTCGTCGCACGGTTCTCGTCGTTCTCGTAGACCCGTGTGCAAAGTTGCGACGAGAGAATCGTGGATCGTGTCGCCGGGCCAGAAATTCTTTTTCCGAATCTCTGGCGAACGAAACGGAAGGATCGTCGTTCCCCGTCCCCTCGTCGTGCCCCGTCGCCTCGTGCCCCGTCCCCTCGTGCCCCGTCCCCTCGTTCGTGGATCCATCTCCCCATCGTAAGTACGCGAACGATCAGTCGCTTCACGGACGACCATCCGCATGGAGGCGAGTGACCTCACGACGGCCCTAGTTCCTTTTCTTTTTTTTCCCAAACACTTCGGGTGTCCGGAAAGTCATGAGAATCGTTTGTAAATTTGTAATTCTACAAGCAATGCACTTCTCACTGTTCGGGCATTTAGATCGATATGTAATCTCTGTGATTGCCGATTTTCAAGTCGATCCGTCGAGAAGTGCTTACAGAGCAGACCTCAAAAGACAGCTCTATGAGCTCGGTGCAACGCGGGCTGTTTTTAACAATTTGGATACGGCTACGAGCGCCGAGAACTTTCGCTTCGCGAGCCTTCGCGTGGTTCAACCTTGGCATCGCGGCCGCTGCCTGTCACACGGAACGAGCTTCTTGCAAAAGGCCTCGTTGAGCTCGTTGCAGAAAGCCTCCACGCCTTCGAGAAAAAAAATGCCCCCGATGTGCTTGGCACCGTTGATGCGAGCCGCTTCGTCGTTCTCGGTTAGTCGGTGCGGTACCCAGACCGATGCCACGTTGCGCAGTTGAAGGTCTCGTGCGAGCACCTCGTGGACGGTACTCTTGCCGACGTCGAGCCCCTCATCCGGCTCTCGAGTAGTCACTCGGCAGTCTTCATCCACCGGCTCTCGCACCGTCTCGGCGAGCTCTGGTGTCTGGGTGGACCGAGGACGGCTACCGTGGGACCGGTCGAGAAAGGAAGGCTCTTCCTCTTTTTCGGCTGCTTCTCTGAAGTTGCCGAACCACCGAAAGACACTAGACTTGACGTACACAGGGACCGGTTCCCTGTAACAGGCAGCGGCTGCAATGCCAAGTTCGGACGCTCCCCAGGGCCCAGGGGCGAAGGCGGAGAGAGAGTCCGCCGCCACCCGGACTCGATCTTTCGTCTCCGGGTGAAACACGAAGCCGGAAGTCGGAATCGCTCGGTCACCGAACCCGATCTTTCTGACGGATTTTTACTCGATCCCCGATACGGTGCGAATCGAGTTCCGCGAATCGAAAAGACTCGGAAGAAACGGCACTTTTTTTCCCCATCGCGTACGCTCCAAATTCGAAGCGACGTTCGATCGTTTCTTTCCCGAAAAGCTCGAAAGGAATGGAATCTTTATTTCCCGTCGCACGAAGAGGGGAATAGGGGAAAAAGGTCCATTCTTCGGAGGTGGAGGGAGACTCGCCCCTCTCCCCCTCCCCAAGTCCGAAATCCCGTTTGAAAAGAGCGAAGGGGGCTCCATGATGCAATCGGGGAACGAGACTCGGGCATTCCATCTCCCATCTCCATCCGAGAAAGAACATTCTTTACGCTTTCGAGTCGCTCGACCGATGATCTGTAGCGAGACGATTTGGAGACCTCGACGAGGGAGTTCTCGAGCCTTTAAAAGTATCGCCCGTACTGCAGCTCCGTGAAGGATTTTCTCGGATTCGCCAAAAGATTGGCATTCGGGGGAACACATCGGTCTCGCTCGTGCGATGGACCCAGGGGATGGACCCAGGGGATGGACCCAGGGGATGGATCCTGGGGATGGACCCAGAGGATCGACTCTCGACTGCATCCTGAAAACTCGGTGGTCCTTGGAAAGACGCTCGAACCTCTGTCCCTGCCTTTCCGCTTCCCGGGAGCCCGTCGCTTATGTCCACGGATTCGGTACGTCGTTGCGTTTCCCTGCGATGGTTTTCCCGCGCAGCGAAGGAATCCCCGAAAGCTGCGACGACCGCCTTCGAAAGGCGAAGTGGCAGCGTGGGAAAAAAGCAGCCCCTGCTCCGGGTGAAATCGACGCGTCGGATCGGGGAACGCCTCGTCGCGAAGCGCGAGACGTCGCTTCTCGAGGCCGAGACCATTTCCACCACGAATCGAGGTATCGCGGGGCGAAAATCGGAGTGCAGCGTCATCTGCGCTTCTGGATTCCGAGAAAGCGGGTGGAATTTTCATTTTCGAGACAGCCACTTCCACGCGTAGAACGTCCGAAGACTCCTTCCCCGAATGGGCCGTGGGTCGGGCGGAAGGACTTGCGTTCGCTCCGTTCCCGGATGTTTAGCGTCGTGGCGGCACGTCTCGAAACGCAGACGCCGCCGAGCACGACGACGTGGATGCGGAACGGAAAGAAGGCATTCCGTTCTCTCTCGAGACGGGGGTCGGCCCGAGACGTGAGGAAAAAAGCGTCCGTCGTAGCCTCGCGAATCGCAACTCGGTCGGCAGGACGTCCACGGCATGGAGTCGCTCCGCGATTCCAGCGAGTGCTCCGATCGCCCGGGATCGTGGCGTTTTCGACGGGATTCCCATCCGTCCGGGGAGGAATCGGCCCGCGGTACGGCAAGACTCGTTTTCGCCATCGCGACGGACCGTCGAAGGAGCGACGTTTTCAGGCCTCCTTGCGACGAGCGTTCCCTTCGTGGCGTCTCGACTCCAACGCATCCGAGAACATTTTCCGCCTCGTCTTCCTTCCGATTCGTGGCCGTCGCGCCTCGATTCGTCTCGTCGTACGGATCGGAATCCCTTGGCTTTTTCGCTCTTCGAAGGCGGCGAACCGTTCCTCACCCCCCGCACTCGTCACGCACTGTTTCTCCCTCTTTGTCTCTCTTTCGACTGTTTGGAAACCGCAGGAGAAATCGTGGAAGAAGCGTGAATCGTTAAAGTGCCGAAGAACCGCGACTCGGACTCCGAATTCCGATTCGTCGTCGTCCGTCACTTTTCCCTCCTACACTGTTGGCAAAAATGGTTCAGCTTTTATCTCCTAAAGGGTGTTTCGACTGCAACTCATATTTATCCTTGTGGGTTACATATTTATCCTTTTTGATAGGTTAAATTAAATATCCTTTCAAAAAGGTTAAATAATTAACCGTCGTGGATAAATGAATAACCTTTAGAGCATACATGTAACGACGAAGGTGAGAGGCTTTCCTCTAACCCCATTGAGTGCCCAAGACGTCACTCCCCGGCAACATTATCCAGTCGTCAGAACGAAGAAGTTCGAAAACGACTTGAGGACACATCATTTATCGAATTTGAAATGTTTCATGGAGCCGAAGCACATATGTACGGGCTACTGTTTGCGAAGACAAGCTTCTTTTGATCAAAGTTCCAGGAATCTGTCTCGAATGTGAGAACAACGAACGAGGAAGTGTCCGTGTTTATTACTTCCTATAATGAGGCAAGGCGAAACGCAGGACGAGGTCGCATAAAATACCTGCGAGGGAGATTCCCGGGAAGAGGGAAGGACTATTCTATTCACTGTGGGAAACAGTAGCACCATAACTCCATCTAGTGTCTAAAAGGGAACTTTACATCGCTCAAATAACCCTTGCAAATGCTGTTTCACCATCATCTGTACATTTTCTCCTCTTTAATCACGAAAATGTTAAAACCTGAACTCTGGTCGGTAACATCCGATTTCTATAAGAACTATCTCTTTGGGAATAAATATGCAACCTCAAAAAGAATGTATTTATTCATTTTCTTGATGGTCTATTTGAAAAATTTTCCGAGATAGTTGATAATTGGTCTTATATGCAGAGGCCCTTTTTTCATTCATTCGAGGGTTTTACGAAAGCGAGAAACTGGCTCATCTTCGGGGCGGGTCATGAGTCCCATGTCTTTTAGAGCACATGCACAAACCAGATGAATCCAACAACCTGATACATATGGCCCACCTTGCACATACACTACATTCCCTCGCTTCTAAAAAAAAAAAAAAATTTAAAAAAAGGCGATCTCGTAAATATTAGCTTTGTCCTTTTGAGCTGGAGAAACGATTTTTTTTTCCGAAAGACCATTTCCCCTTTCAGTGTTTCACATATTTAACCTCAAAAGGGATACATATTTATACCTGTTCCCATAGATATTCATTTATCCACTAACAAGATTTCTAAAACTCTCCTAATGTTAAATGTTTAACCCTTTCACTCGAAAAGGATATAAAGAATTCATCGCCTTTAAAATGAGCATCCAATTAACCCTTTTAAATGGTTATTCACAGATATCCAACCGTTTTTTTACGGTTTACCTAGGTTAAACTCTGAACCATTTCTGCTAACAGTGTACAAAGAAATTAGGTGAAGGTAGCCAGAAGTCTCAGCCTGATCCATCTCCTTCTATTCCCATCTTGCGGAGGATTTTTCCTGGACTCTCACTTTGGACCCTTTGGACTCTGATGAGACTCTCAAAGTCCTTCCAGGTAGCAACATTCCTTCGTCGTTCGAGTGTCGATAGTGAAGCCTTCTCTCGTGACAGCGAAAGCAAATTAAAGGAAATTATTTATTTTTTCTGTTTCTCGGGTCTACCTGGAATTAGGAGAGGAAAACACGAAGCGTAGGAATTTTTCGGTCGGGAAGGAACTCGAGGAAAGGATAGAACTGTTCCGAAATGCGATCCCACGGAGCCCACGGATCCCATGCGAAGAGCCCGATCCGATCGCATGGTTCGGAGGATGTCCACACTCGTTGCAGGGGATCTCGACGTTCGTTGCCGGAGGACACTCCAAAGGCTCTCTGTGGGGTTTAAGTCCGGAGTATTTCCACGAGCAGAGGGACGAATTAGAAGAAACAACTCGCTTAAATCGAAGGCGATGGTGAAGGTGAAGGCGACTCGATGAAATTCTGGGTCGGCCGTCTTGGATTCGAGATTCGGATTTCGCGTGGGTGCACCTGGAGTAGGTCCCGATCGAGGTGGATCGGTCGCCATGCCGAGGGAAACCGCAAACGTTCGCGTGCTTTCTCGCAGAGCAACGAGTGCGTGGACCCCACACGATGAGACCACCATGCGACGGCGTCGTGATCCTCTCGTGGGCAGGCCATTTCTAATCGTTTATCGGTTAGCTACGTCACATGGGATCGAGTCATCGAGTCCAAGTGATTCCATGCTTACATCTATATTATTACGAGTTTTTGTTTGCCCTTCGCTATGGTCGCGCCTTCGGCTCTCCATTGTTCGGGTTAGTGATTCATTCATGAACTTATTTTCAAAGGGGGAAACACGTACGAATAGTAT